GAGCACTGCAAGTCCATTGATTTGCGGGGTGCGGTGCTCCCTGCTATGTCCGAGCGGCATGTAACCTCATTGCTCTACTTCTCCAATATCCTCGCCGAGGAGATTCACCGATGGAGTTCAGAACCACGACGAAGCAGAGAGGAACACCATACATACGTAAATGTCAAGGACGCATTTGCTGTCGTTGACTATGTTCTTTCTCATATTATGCAGCAGCACGCCTCTGGGATTCCAGTATCAGATGAGGCCCTGGGCACGGAAGCTATCAACTCATATCAAGTAGGTTTCGTTTCTCGAACTTTATTAGACTCGCAGTTGCACCTTGTATCTGACCCGATATCAGGCGTGGATGAATGTACGGAGCGCAATCCAGTTGCGTGATTCGTTGTCTGTCTTGGACCTGGCCTCTACGACGGCTTACATCATTCAGAGCATGAAAATACCTGGACTTGCAAAATCTGCAACACAGGTTGTGGTCGAGCTGATAGACTGGCGTGACAGTATCTTTACCCAGGATCATCTTACTGCTATTATGGAGTATGTTGTCAGTGATTTTGGGGCTGCGCACGTCGCGTCACTTATTGAGGCGGATTTTGAGGACGAGAATATGACGTTCTTGGACCTCCTATTGGCTTATGCAACGTTGAAGCAGAGAGACCTCATGACCAAACAATTAGACCCACAGCATGCTAAAATGCTCACTCTTCTACACACGCTGTTCAAGGCTCCTGGCTATGCAGCGGTGGACGATCCGGCCTCGCCGCTTGTTCTTGAGTGGTGGACAGAAGTCGCCGACGACCTCCAGGATATATATTCGGACTCGGAAGATCAAACGAGTCTTGAGCCTGCTAAGAGGAATTTGGCCGAAGCGGCTTTGGACTGCTTTGAAAAACTAAAGTTTCCTAGCCCAGAAGAGCTGCAAGGTTGGGGTGATGATGACCGTAGCGAGTTCGGTTCGTTTCGGCGTGATGTGTGCGATTTCCTCCTAGCCATCTACCCAATGTTGGGAGTGGAGCTTGTCCGGGTCTTCCAAGAACGAGCAAGAATATCACTGGTACAGCAGGAATGGCGCACGTTTGAGGCTGCGATTTTCTGCATCGCTCAGCTTTCGGAGGCTGTCGATGAGAACCAACACGCTGACGAGTGTCTCAATTCGATCTTCTTCTGTGACGAATTCGCTCGCCTGTGCGAAGGAAATGGAGTGCTAATCCCAGACAAACCACGTCAGACCTTGGTGGACATGCTGGGAAAGTATCAGTCGTACTTTGAACGCACACATGCCTTGCTACCTCGCGTCCTTACCTTTCTGTTCGCGTCTCTCGATGTTAGCTCGTGTGCGCCAACAGCATCCAAGTCGATTGCATATCTTTGTAAATCATGCCGCAACGCGCTAACCTCAGAACTGCCAGCGTTCATTGACCAATTCGAACATTTCCGCTTCAAACCCACGGCCACTACTCATACCATGGAAAAGGTGTTAGAAGGAATCGCCGCCATCATCCAGACTTTGCCTACGGACGAAGCAAAGTCACAAGTCATTGAACGAATTCTCCGGTTCTTCCACGGGCAGGCAGAGGCGGCCCGTGATGAGGCGGTTGGTGGCTTAGTGGAGCAGGCTCAGACCCGTGGCCAGTTTGTGCTGCGCTGCGTCGCAAGTATTGGCAAGGGTTTGAGAACCGATGGTGAGGTGAATTTGGAGTCGAACGACCATGGAGATGGTGACCCCTACCCTCCGACATTCTGGAATACGGGCAGTGGCGCCGTGTCTCAGAACCTGATCATGCAATGCATGCAGCTGCTCATCACCGATTTCCCTGTCGATGTGACCATAATTGAAGCCGCATGCGACATCTTGAAGGCTGGTTATATCGAAAGTACGGGACCATATGTCTTCCCACCAATGGTGACTGTCAATTTTGTCAAGAGCATACCTCTAGGCAGCGTTGGTACCGACATAGTGATGGGTACGGCTTCATCTTTCCTTGCATCTCATAGCTCACACTGTCAGCGAATCCGTGACGAAACGGTTGCGCTGATCGTGCACGTGTATGATACTTTCTGTTGGATGCATGAGAAACCTGAGTACTATGACCCCGAAGTCGCCAACAGTGGGATCGACTTCCTCACACGCTTACTCCCCAAATATCACCCTTTCCTATTCGCACTCACGACGCCGCCCCAAGAAGCCAGCCAAATTCCTTCATCCAATGGGGGTGAGCTTCAACGGCCGTCAGTCCTTGAAGCTGTCTTGAATTTCACTCTCCTCTCATTGCGAGGGCCTGAACCACTTCCGCTCCGCTCTGCCTCGCAGTTCTGGGTGAATGTGCTAACGCTTCCAAACGACGGTGGGTCTATTCAAACTGCCATCATGCAGTGTCTTCCTGCCCTTTGTCGTATCCTGATCAATCAGGTGGCCGGGCGATGCGCGCGGTCGGACCTCGAGCATCTCTGTGAGGTGCTTCGAAAGCTCATCTTCAAACAGCAAGGGGCTGCGCGCCCCCACCTCGCTGCAGCGCTGGCTGATCTAGGTAGCAATGATGCTTCCAATCAACATCAAGGCGCGTCTACGTCTCCCGAGGACAGGCAACGCTTCCTTGCGTCACTGCTAGCGGCAAGGGGTTCCAGAGCGCCAACTAGTCAGTTGATACGCACGTTCTGGGTCAAATGTCGGGGGGTGAGTTTCGACTACGTTGGGTAGATATTAACGTTATCTGGCTGCGGTTTGGAACAGTATGTGGACGGGCAGGAAAGGAATACAGTCAAGTCGCTAGCATTGGATCAACCGAGTAAACCAGACAAAAAAAAGAAAAATGATGATTATTCTAAAAGTCCAAAGTGAGGCAGGCTGTAACGAGAATGATGCAGTGAATCGCCACCCGAAACGACAACAAGCGCTGCTCATGTGTATGTGTGAGAACCCCATAGGACCATGGCCGTGAAACTGATGCAAGTTGCGCAGACACGATGACCTGGCAGTCAGCCTCTTCTCCTCAGCCACAGAGGCGGTGCATGCTTGGCCCTACAAAGTAAGGGGCAGCACGACACTTTACTCCGTATGGGGCATCGGTTTCAGGTGTCGCCTCGATTTTTCGCCAGATGCTACTAATTTAGCTTGATCGGCTATGAATATAACGCGATGTGGGTCTCTGCCCCTTAGCCCATGGGCAAATAAAGCCCTTCAACCTCGGAATTCTGCCGCTGGTCTGCTTTTAAACATGCCTGGTGATATTGCCGCGCTCTTTCTTGCCTGCTCTTTTCCACGCTTACTCCATTATACCTACTCTTGTTGAAGCGCTGCATAATCGCCCGCCATGCCTATTATTGCAAATACTCCAGAAGCTGTATTGGGTCGCACGGACTCGCTTGATCCGGCTACAACTTGTCGCGGTGTCACCTCCAATGGGCGGCCATGTCGCCGGGCTCTGGCGTCTCCATCGCCATCAGATTCACCGGCTTCAAAGTCACAACAGACCGACCTATCTGCGATGTACTGCTGGCAGCACAAAGATCAGGCAGCGTCGGTTCCGCAGACGAACAGCGGAGCTAACCCTTCGCGATTGAGGCCCCGTGGAAGCATCGACACTTTAATGGAGCGGTTAGGGTTGATGGATCTTAACGACGCAGGGACTCCAGATAAGCGGCGCAGACAGCGGAAACCAGCACCAAAGAAGCGGACCAGACGTACGATATGCTGCTGCTTCGAAGTCATCGAGGAGGAAGACATCCGGCCGTCACGGCCGGTCAATGCTCCAACGGAGATGCAACAAGCCCCCGCTGGGAAGCTGTCAGCGCCAACCCCATCCCTGTCTCCTCACCAGGTTCCTGTTCGACCCAGTAAACCTGGCTCTTCCTCTTCAGGAACCGACGACGACATTCTCTCTTGGATTCCATCTGGCCTTGCGCCGGAGACGACCTCCAACCTCACCGCAGAACTGGCCAAGCCTATCTCGGAAGCCGACGAGCCAGGCTATATCTACATGTTCTGGATGACACCGTCGACATCTGAATCCAAAGAGCTGCCTTCTTCAGAGGTAGCCTCGAACCTCATGCCGCCAACATCCTCCCCGGGGCGTGACCGCCGCGTAAGCGATGCAATTCGGACCGCCCGCGATCTCAATGCCTTGGCATCTGCACCAACTCATGACAGCCCCGGCACGCTCCGTTTGAAGATCGGGCGTGCTAACAATGTGCAGCGACGACTCAATGAGTGGAGCCGACAATGCGGCCACCATCTCACGTTGATCCGATACTACCCTTACACGCCCTCCACCCCGCAACCATCGCCATCTCGACACGGCCGGAGCAATGATGACAGTACTGCAACTCTTGTCCCGGGACGCAAAGTGCCCCATGTGCACCGTGTGGAACGGCTCATTCATCTGGAGCTAGGGGACGTGCGGATCCGCGACCTAGGGAAATGTCCGGACTGCGGACGGGAGCATCGCGAGTGGTTTGAGATCACGGCAGAGAAGGCGTCTCTGAAACGGGCGGACGATTGTATTCGCCGATGGGTGAAATGGGCAGAAACGCATTAGCTATCTACGTAATACTAACACCACTATTGTTCGTTAGCACTGTCGTGCGAACGTCTCTATTGCTATTCTAGTCAAGTACTTGTTGTATGGCATAATAACGATAAGACCAGCAACAAAAAGGACAACGGCAGCCTTCCTTTAAACCATTTGTTGTCCGAACTGATTCAACCACCTTCAATCAGTCCCAAATCCCCACCAAATACTCTATGGGAAGTCACCGAATATGATCAGTGTAATGATCGAGAACCAGAACCCACCAACAGCAATTATGATCATAGCTTGTGCTAAGAAAACGGATAGTGCTTAAGCAACAATTGATATACCTCCAAGGACGAGGGTTATTATTAGCATATCTGCTAATTCCCCATGGCTGAATTCGGATAGTAAGAGGCATATATTATCGTTGCCTTTGGTGTGAACAATCTACTCTTATCAATAAGACAAGGACCGGAAACCATAACCCAACTCCATCGCTAGTAACAACTATGATATAACCCATCATACCCATAATCCGTTCCTTACCCCAATTCCTCCCATCCATTCCTATAAACCCTCTTTCCTATCCCACCCCCAAATCTCCAACTCCAACAACAACAACAACAACAAAAAACCCTCTCAACCAAAACTGCCCAAAGCAAATCAGTTAGCCCACCCATTCGGCAAAGGACCAGGAGGCCACAACCTATTAACCAGAAGACCAAAGAGGACCGTGAAGGCAAATCTGCACGCTCGATAGGTGAGGACGAAGAACCACGTTAGAGCCGCCACCACCAAGATCACTGGACTGATGAAGAACATCGAGAACAGGGCGAACACGACAACTGCGATCACGCCGCATACGGCCACACAGAAGAGGAAGATCCCGGTGGGGATGGCAGCTATGATGAGTATAGGGATGAGGATGATTGCGATGATGATGGTGAGGAGAATGGGAATAGCGGGAATCACGGCGAGGTTGTTCATTGCTGCTGTGTGGTATGATGCACTAGTAGTGGTGGAGGAAGACACGGTTGCAGGGTTTATGGTTTGTATTGGGTGAGTGTGTATAGTATGATTGGGTTGGGTAGATGAATGAGTGTGTGTGCGTGTGTTTGTGTAGTTATTGATGATTGTTCTTAGAGAGTGTGTGGTGTAGATGTGGGAGTATAAGCTGTAACTATTTACTATATTCTATGCTGCGGGCGTAGGTAAGTAGTTGTGCCTTCCATATTCGGTAATTAAGATGTAAGGAAGTGGCGGCCTCATAAACTACTAAGCTACCTCATATGGAGTGCTGCTAAGCCATATTAGGTTTATCAACCTACCATAATACCTAATATAGGAAAGTTTATATCTGTTGTACTTGCCTGGGTAGCACCCTCCATAGTGCCTCTGGAGGTGCCCCTGGGAGTATTAGTCTTAGTAGTGGCCCTGGTAGTGGCTCTCGGAAGACTCTTGGGGAGCTTCGGAGGGCTTGGAGGGAGGAGGGACCTTAATGGTTGCCCTAGTAGCCTCCCGGGTGGTTCTCTTGGTAGGGCTCTCTAGGAGAGTATTCCTAGAATCACAGATTCTAACTATAAATCTGGGCTTGCTATAGTATTCTAGTACCTGACTTTAGGGCCTTACATCCAGTAGCGGCCTCCGTAGTGCCCTAGAAGGTAGTAGTCTCGGGGGGTGGGGGCGCCCTGGAAGGTCACTAGTGGCCTTAGTAGTTAGTACAAAGTACGTAGCTGTCATAGACTGATTCCCAAGCCCGTAGTCACATGACCATGTCTGCTCGATATGGAACAGCGTTCACGGCTAGAGTAGGAGCCGTATGCTTAACTAGCGGTATGGTAAGAGCTGTCATTGCAGATTACCCGTCTGCAAGGTGGTATGTCACGTAACGGTAATTGAAAGTAACTTTCTCGGCACTGTCTCGGTGGATGATATGATTACTCAATGTCAAGAGAGGGCGCAATGGGGTTCCTGTATTCAACTCAAAAACAGATAGTGGAATCTTCTTGGCGTGCTCTGGAGGTTCAAACACGAAGATGAGTCAATTGTTCACCGGCGAGATGGGTCTTTTGCGCGAATTCATCGGCGGATCGGCGGCAAGCCGAGGGCGCCTTCCCGGCCCGCCGCTAGCCTGGAAAACGGAGTTGGGCTGTTGCTCCGGTCCCTTCCATTGTTATGGGTATGATTGTTTATAGGTATGGGAGATCATTATATCAGAGGCGATATTTTTGGAAAGATGTGTGAGATTACTGGCTAGCTATAGCTAGGTCAGACGATCAAGCTACTATGGAACGTTGAAGTGCGCCAAGGAACCCGAGGTTGAGAAAGTCTAAATGGAAAGAAAAGTCCGTCTAACCACCGCAATTCTATTACTCGAAAGATAGTAGATCATGTGCTCATGGCTCATATCAACAATGTACTAAGACAAATCGCCTCGACGGCAGCAAATGCAACACAAGTGTACAAAAACACAGTAGACCAGCTTTTCCAACGCCCGCGATGAAAATAAGTCTCTAGAATGATTCTCGCTTACCATCCCCGCTTGGCCAGCTTGTCGGCCTCGGACATCTGCGCAACGTTGATGCCCACCATGGCCTCACCCAGACCCTCGCTCACCTCGGCAAGAACCTTAGGGTCGCGGAAGTGAGTGACGGCCTGCACGATGGCCTTGGCGCGCGCCTTCGCATCGCCGGACTTGAAGATACCGGAACCAACAAACACACCATCGCAGCCCAGCTGCATCATGAGCGCCGCATCGGCAGGGGTGGCAACGCCACCGGCAGCGAAGTTCACCACGGGCAGACGGCCCTTCTCGGCCGTCTCACGAAGCAACTCGTAGGGAACCTCCAGCTGGCGGGCAAACTGGCGCAGCTCGGGCTCGTAGTCGGCAGAGGACTGGTAGATAGCACGGGCACGGGCGATGTCCGAGCTGACCTGGCGCATGTGCTTGACAGCTTCCACGACGTCTCCGGTACCGGCCTCACCCTTGGTGCGGATCATGGCAGCACCCTCCGAGATACGGCGAAGGGCCTCACCCAAGTTACGGCAGCCACAGACGAAGGGAACCTTGAAGTTGTGCTTGGTGACGTGGTAGACGTCGTCGGCGGGGGTCAGGACTTCCGACTCGTCAATGTAGTCGACACCAATGGCTTCGAGGATCTAGTGGACGGTGTGTCAGTTTGTGGCGAAACGGACAGCCATGAAGGAAAGTTGATTGTAGCTTACCTGGCACTCAACGAAGTGTCCAATACGAGCCTTGGCCATAACAGGGATGGTAACGGCCTTCTGGATCTCCTTGATCATGCCGGGATCGGACATGCGAGCCACGCCACCCGTAGCTCTGATGTCGGCGGGGACACGCTCGAGGGCCATGACAGCGGCGGCACCAGCCTCTTCAGCAATGCGAGCCTGTTGGCAAATTGAAAGTTAGCAACGATTGACACAGATTGAGCTTAGGGATCCTATGTAGAGGCATACCTGTTCCGCGTTGACAACATCCATGATCACGCCACCCTTCAACATCTGAGCCAAACCGGCCTTCAGAGTGAAGGTGTTGGCAGTGCCGTTGGAATCGCCATTCTGCTGGGAAGCCATTGTGGAGGGGAAGAAGGTTCAATGGGATGAAGACCAAGAGTATGTAAGAGAAGAGAAGTCTGGAAGGAAGAAGGCACCCTAGGGAATGGAGAGGAAGTGAGTAGGAAGATGTCGAGAGAAAGAAAAGCAGGAGTGAGTCAACGGCCGACGAGGAACAACTACTAAGTACTCCGTACTGAACTATCAGTAACGCCGCCCGTTCGCCTCCGCGGAGACGGGGTGCAGCATCTGGACCAACCACTGCCGGTTCCTGCTTTCTACCCCTCGATTTTTTCCCCGCGGCGGCCGACTATTTCCTGCCGTCGTTCGCAGGGCGGCCGTGGCAACCAATCACTGCCCGTCCGTCCCTCCTTTGCTGCCTATAGAGTTGGTCACGTGATACATAGCCTAGTGGATTTCCCGCGGTTTTCCACCTTGGCGTATCGTAATGCTGGTCACGTCTGGTCATGCAGGTCGTGTGTATGGTCACACCCGTATTCCCCGTCAACTACTAGTAGTATTATCCTTGATGCCTCAGGCATTAGAACTAACTGCGGTCCTCGTCTCCAATCACCTTCCTATCCGAGGCATGCTTGCTTGATTGCTTCATCTCCTCATTCTCATACTAGCACTGGTGCCCACCTCAACACCTTCTCTCTGTCCACAGCCATTGACTGCAAAAGTTATCAGATCTCTACTCCCTATTTCGCACGAGCATCTCCTGCCTCTCTTAAGTACAATACACCCTTCCTCCACAAACATCTTCAACCACAAATTACCCAGAACAGGGTATCTACCTCTCAGACTAACCCCCGTGACGTCACCGTACGCATACCGAGGGCGCAACTCCAGAACAGCTGAGAACCACAACCATAATAACCACAACCTGCAGCGCCCTTCCAGGACCTCCTCATTCCATCTCATCCCTATAATCCATTCCTCCAACCCATCCCATTACCAACAACCAGAACCAGACACCAATAACCACTCAATTGCCTCTCCATCCCCCTCTCCCAAACAAGTCCCCCCTCCTATCCTATCCGTCGCAAACCACAATTGACGCAACAACCAAACAATGGCCTTCCTTCTCAGCCGCACAACAACCACTCTCCTAGGCACCGGCCTCGGTGTCGGCCTCTCCCTCTCCCTCCACCCACTTTCCCCCTTCCGCGCACCCCCAATGCAATGCCAATACACCGCTCCCTACTACCGCCCCGAATCCCAAATCTCCCCGGACTCCGGCTGGGTCATGGACTCCCAGGACCCGTTGCTGCGTAAACAAGGCACTACCAGAAACTCGAGTCATAATACTGCTGGTGGCGGGATTCTGACGGCCTCGAACATGCGCCAGGTCAGTCTGGGCAGCGTGCTGGGGTTGGTTGTGGGTGTGGGGTTGAGGGCGTTTTCGAGAGTGTTGGTGGTGCTCTTGGGGATAGGGATTATTGCTGTTGAGGTGGGTTGATTGATTGATCATTCCTTACTTTCCTTTGCTGTATTTGGCTTTAGCTTGGTGATGTGGGTACTGATATCAATGTAGTGGGCTGCGGCGAGAGGATATAATTTGCTTCCGGTCAACACGGTGCAGAAGTACTTCAAGCGGGTGGATCTGCAAAAGACGGTGTCGCATCATATTCCCTTCAAGATTAGTTTCGGGGCTACGATGGGGTTGGCTGCGTTTGCGCAGTTCTAGGCGAGCTGAGCTGAGATATGCGGTATGAATGTAATATGGTAGTATCGCATCTCGAAGAATCTATGTATCTTGTCTAGCAAGTGAAGTAACACCGGGCTTACTACGCTCCAAATGCTGCAATAAGTATTCTATGTTATACAGGGTATCATGGATTTATGCCATGCCGTGCAAGGCGCTATACTAGCCTATCTTATACTATACTATCTATCAATCTATCATCCTGTCAGTCAGCAATCAACTTAACACCAAATCTTCCAAAACACCCTCCATCTCGTCACGCGCCAATGGGACTCCCAGGATCTCCATCCCACTTGTATCCATCCGCGAAGTAATCATCTGATGATCATGGAACTCCTTCAACAACGTCCGGAACATCATCTCCGATGAGGCAATGAACTCTTCCGCCGCCTTTTGATACAGCATCCGGAACTCAATGCCCGTTTCCTCTCCTCGGCCGTTGCTGCCATCCCCTCCCCCATTACCCCTACCATCCATGTCATCATCCGACATATGTCCCTCATCCGCCATGGATAGCAGCTCCGTGAGAAGTAACCGATACAGGTTCCTTGCGTTCTCAGGCAGACTCTTCAGCACGAACTCAACACCCTCCTTACCACCGACACGGCGGCCCTTTCTTCCCAGCAGAGTGCTGACCTCCTCAACGACATCAAACTCGGTATCAAACGGCGCGAAGGTTGTACAGTCGTGGAAGACGAAGTTGAACTGGTCACGCAGGCTGAGATCCCACATCAGTAACAGATTCGGGGTATCCGCCGTCGCAAGAAGATGGATTTTCGGCGTAGCAGCTAAACGGGCAAGGAGGGCTTGGTTCGCTGCTCTCCGGAGGGCAGGCGCATCGATGGAGTTGATAAGAACGGTGATTGGTTTCTGGGAGGATCGGGACTTGAGGACGGACTGAAGCAATTCGAGGACTTCTTGGGGCTGAGAGCCCATTTTGGAAGGAATATCGGCGCCCAGGACGGCGGTGACGATCGTGGCGAAGATGGAACGGATGGACATGTTTGGCGTGTGTCCGTTGACGATGACTACGGAGCTTGAGGCGGAACTGCTGTGGTGACGGTGGTAGAGCCAGTCTGCGAATTCTTGGAGAAGGCGGCGCTTGGAGCCGTAGCCGTACAGGCAGATATTGAAGCCTTGGTCGAATTCGAAGTCCCACTGGGGAAAGGACCGGCAGTGGAGGTCTAGGAGGAAGGATTTCTCTTGTTTGTATGGGTCTGCGTACTGTGACATCCGTTCGAAGTACTCCTCGTGCGTTAAGAGGTTTACTTTGCCTAGATTGTTGTTCGATGTACGGGGTGGTCCGGCGCGGTTTTGGAAGAAGTATCGCTCATGGGCTGGGAGTTCTCCTTCTGGGGTGGGAGAACGCTTGTTCTTTGCGCCTTTTGGTCGTCCTGCACGACGCTTGGGTGTTGGTGCTCCTTCTGTTGCACCATTCGCGGCGGGTTGAGTAGACTCCTCCTCGATGGATTCTAATAAACCTTTCCCTGTCGCCGATGCCTTGCTGGGAGCCTCATTGGTATCGTCTTGTAGAATCTCCTCCGCAAGACGGTCAGCGCCGTCCCAGATGTCTTCGTCATCCTGTTCGAGGAGAAGCCGAGCGCTCTTCTTCTTAGCGGACCGGTCGGCACGGGCTTTCGACGGAGTTGCAACAGTAGACTTTTTCGTGGGCGTTGAGAATAGATTCTTCGCTTTAGCCTTCTGAGTTGGTGTCTTCAACCCCGAAGCTTTAAGAGCAGCTGGGGTGTTATCGGTCGTGGGTTTTTGAGGTGTTGATTTCACTCGTTTCGTAGGGGTGGTGGTAGCTTCAGGGGTTCGTTCACGTTCACCGTTGGTGTTCCCATTTACGGTGCCATTGGTGGCCGTAGTCCTCTGCCTCTTGGGCGTAGAGATGGGGAATTGGTCATCGGATTCTGGATGCTTGCGTTTCATTTTAGTCAATGGGTCCGGGGAGGTTATCGAAGCAGCTTCGGGGAAATGGCGGAGAGCAAATACCATTCGGGGCACAACAAAGCTCTTCTGGAGGTCCAGAAGGAACGACGAGCACAACAGAGGACGCGAGGGATGAGCGCGCTTGCTGGGAATGCTGGTCGCTGATAGATCTGGTCGGCTTCCCTCGTGGCTACTTTTTTGCCCTGCGATGGGCGCGTCTGGAACGCGCAGCAAATCAATCAATCGATCAATCAAAGGCAGGCCCGACGGTTTCTCCGATTCCGCGATATCGGAGCGGCATTTCATCGCCGCGAATCGCATCACTTCACCTTTCCTGTTTCCGGTGCTTTGCGCTTGTTCTGTTCTTATTTCTTCCATTGAGTCTGCTCACTTGGTTTGTCTGGCAGTGGTCTACACGTCCACTTTGCCTTGAGCGAACTAGTTGCGGTCATTAGGCCCCTGACAAGTCGAGCGAGTTAATTCGGTGAGTCATTTATCTACTTCAACTTATCTCCGATCCTCTCTCCTGCAGGTATATATACCCAAGGACAGTCTTGCAGCCCTGGAGAAGGCATCCACACCCATTGGATTTCTCCAGTATAAATTCCCTCAATCGCAGGGAGCAGTTTTACTAACATCTGCTCATCTGCCCCAGGAAAAAGAAACCCCAATGGCTTTGCCTACCAATTCGGCGGCCACTACCACCATGGCTACCTTCGCCCGCATGGTAAAGGGCCAGGTGCGTTACTACTCTGCGCCCTTGGATATGGCCATTCCCGCCTCCAAGCAGAAGTATATCCCTGCCTCCGGTACCTACCCTAAGGGCTTCTCCGTCTCCGGAACCCACGTTGGCGTGAAGGCATCCAACACCAGGTTCCCGGACCTGGCCCTCATCTCCTCCGAGACGCCCTGCTCTGCCGCCGCCGTCTTCACCACCAACAAGTTCCAAGCCGCCCCGGTCCAAGCAAGCAAGAACACCCTGAAGACCACCCAAGGCGAAGGCATCCGGTCCGTGGTAATCAACTCAGGCTGCGCCAATGCCGTGACAGGTAAAGGCGGCCTGGAGGATGCCGTGAGCATGGGCAGCAAGGTAGACGAGTGCAATGGCCTCGCCCAGCCCAGCACTCTCGTCATGAGCACCGGTGTCATCGGTCAACGGTAACAATCCCTTGCCTCCTCCCAATTCTCCCGTCATCATCTCATCACTAACAACTATAACCCTCACAACAGCCTCCCCATCTCCAAGATCCTCAACAAAATCCCCACTGCGCACTCGACCCTCTCCTCCACCCACGATGCCTGGCTCACAACCGCCCGCGCCATCTGCACAACAGACACCTTCCCCAAGCTCCTCTCCCAGACCTTCACCCTCCCCTCGTCCCCGGACCGCACGTACCGCCTCGCCGGAATGACCAAAGGTGCCGGCATGATCCACCCGAACATGGCGACCCTCCTGGGAGTCCTCTGCACCGATGCGCCCATTGCCCCCTCCGCCCTCCAGCCGCTCCTCAAACACGCC